AGCCAGAGTCTTTTCTTCAGCAGGTACAAAAAAAGTCTTGTCATTGCTCTTCCAGCCTCCTGATCCTGCAGGGAGTCAGAAGCAGCATAATTCCGGGCACAGATTTTACCTACCTGCCTCATGCTCAAGTAGGTGACATCTGGGCACCCTTCACTGCTGAAAGCATTGCACGGTGGTAGCAAGAACATCATTGTCCTGAACTTATTTGGAGAGATTCTCTTCCCATAAGCGTCCCACATCAGTCTGATGGTCCTGAGTGTTCCCTCTCTCCCAGGATAGCAATACTATTAAAGTGAATTGTATGAAAAACAGCCAGAATGAGACTGAAAGAAGCAAGGATCAGTTCCAATCATCTGCTGTCCTGGAGCATCACAGATCTGTACCAGCTGTGAGGCTGGGACATCAACCTCCCTGACCTATAAGGATTGACTTAAACCAGGCTCATGTCCCATCAGCACTGACTTAGAGCAGTCCAAGATATGCCTCAAGTCCTTACCTGGAGTCTTTTGTGGTTCTGTCTCAGTTGGAAAGCAGGAGTGGGACAGCTCCCTGCTAGCCCTGAGCTGGCTGTCCCACTGTCACCAAGGCACTCGCAAAACTCCTTCCCACCTGACAACTTCATCAGGGGTTGAATCTTGCAGGTTCTTTGCTTAGCCACATCTCAGCAAAAGCAAACCAACCCCTTGCATCTGACTTTCAGAAGGCCTCAAATATCCACAGGTGGTATTCTGAGCCCAGAATCTAGTCTTAATTTTTCCACTATTGCTAATGACCATCAGCATCACTGTCACAGGAACTGCCCTCATCTTTTCTGACACATCAGTTGACTGTGGCCATTGCAGGAGGGTTGCCTCTGGCTCAAATTCTGTCTCTTGGGCCAAATGCAGCACCTTCCTCTGTGGGAGCACCTTCCTCTGTGGGAGCACCTTGCTGCTTATGTATGATGTTTTCCAAGCCCACAGGAACTACTGACCTTTCTCCCATCTCTCCTTGTTCTTGTCTATGTTTGCTGGCCATCCGCAACAACAAATGAATGGCACTGACCTTCACAGCAGATGTCAGGATAGATAAAGTGGCCAAGGAGAGAAGACAGGGGAAATGTTGCTGGAGTTTTCCTTCCAACACCCCTAAATGTGCTACTGCGATAGAGACATTAAAAATGCCAATAGATAGCGAGATGAGATGGATTTCCTGTAATCTCAGATTCATCATATTTTACCCGTTACAATAGCAAACACTGAACTAACGAGTGGTCTGTGTGGGCAGCAGGAGCATTCCTGTCTACAGCAAGTGCTGTAGCTCATACTAATGAGTCAGTGCACAGCTGGAGAGGTGTGCTCTGACCTAAGCAATCTGTAGACACAGTGTCCAGCTTTTCTTATCTGCAAAGAGCCTACCACCACCAAAACAGCAGCACTGAATAAAAGCAGTGAATAGAAATGACAGTGGAAGTGAGGGTGGGTGGAAGGGGAGCTGAACTGTCCCCCTGGCATCTGAAAAGGGCATGCGCTTGATTCTCAGAGGAAAGCAAAAGTGGCAATGTAGAGATGCTCTTCAGTCAGTTGGGTTCTGATGAACAGCCAGCTCCCACATCACCTGGGGAAGGTGGCCTCTGCAAACTCAGGCTGAAGCCTTCTTGAAACCAGCTGCCTTGTCTGAAGAGACAATTGTCTCTATGTCTAGGATAAAGAGACCTACTCTTTTTCCCTTAAGCATTCATTACACCTGGGTTTTTCTATCTCAAAGCTCAACAGAGAAGTACAGACCAAACCTAACACCAAGGTCCTGTCCCGCTGCAGAGTTCAGAGTTCTGAAACTACCTGCTGTGAAGTGCCTGGGCAAATACACTGAGGACTTTGCCTTGGTCTTGAACTCTCTTTGACAGCCAGTGGCAGTGCCCATGGCTTGGTGGGTTACCAGAGGAAGCTGCACATACCCATCCTGTGATCTCCTGCTGTGATCACCCAAGGGGTGCCTGAGTGATTGCAGGAAGGCCCATGGGACATGGACTCTTCATCAAGGAACATCAGGCACCACCCAGCGAGTGCCTCAGCAGCACCTGCATACGCTGCTTTGTTTGGCCTCTGCTCCCTCAGACACAGACCACCTCCATTTGTCATTGTCACCCACAATCACTTTGTTCACTGACACCAAACCAGCCTAATGGAAAGACAAAGCTATGGCTTATTTAGCAAGACTGAAGGGCTCCCTTCTCATTTGAAGTTTGGAAACAAAAGTTTCAAATAAAACTAATACCAAACTCAATCTCAGCCTGTACACAACAACTATAGTCCTTTCTGCTCGATCAACCCCTCATACGCTGGTGTCCTGAAACAAACCACAGCCAGCAGACCTAATGCTTTTCAGATCCCACAGCAAAACCCTGTAGTTGTGGTCAATGTGCAGCACTAGTGACTACGGCTTTGCCTGGAGCCTGCTACTATATATTGCTGCCTCTGTTCCACACGCACACATACACACACCCCAACCGCCCTTCATTCCTTCCTACTTATTTCTTCCCCTCCTTCCCAAAAAGCCAGTATTGATGGTGACCCCTTTTCTGCTTCCATCCTGGGGCTTACCAGCTTTATTCTAACTTAACATGCTAAACCCCATTCTTGTTTTCCAACTTTTACTTCCCTCCCAACCTAAAACATTTTAGTGTTCGCTTATACGATTTCCTGCTTACAGCAATAATCTGAAGATTAGCTGAGTAACAGTGAATAGTTATAAGGGAGCACTGCCCTATTCTGCAACTGAAACAATATAAAATATCATTAACTGTATAGCTGCTTTATGAGCTTATGATCTTTTGTAAGTGATTAGTTTTCTGTCTCACATGATATATGAGGACATGTTAATAACAGACACAACTGAGCCAGGAACAAGTTCTTTTGGGCAAGGTACAAGAGCAAGTTTTCCCTTCCCAGCTTTGGCAAGGGCTAACTGTGACATTCGGTCCAACTGGCTGCCTGAGGCTGAAGTGATCCATTACCCCTACAGCTGCCAGTGGCTTTGGAGGGCTCTGCTGGAAGTAAAGTCCCTCTCCTTTGTAGCTGGGGTTGAGAACATCTTCTTTCAGTGGGCTGCTCTTGCCTCTGGCTTGACTGTTTCAGCCCTGACCACACTGTGATGGCTTTTCTCCTTCACATGGTATCAGCAAACACACAGACAAGCAGAGGCTGAATGAAGAGATCGTCATCTTTAGCATGACGCATTTTCCTTCCCAGCCATTTTGCCTTGCTCATCTCATGTCCCAGTCCTCAGCAAGCACCAAGTAAACTCCTTACTGGGTGCTGCCACTTGTAGTGTGAGCATTGAACACCCCACTCATGATTCCTACGTTCTGGTCCTTGTGTGCCTCCACTAATGCAGCAGTAAGTATTTAAAATGTCCTTTTAAAATGTTGGAGCCATCAGCTCCATGTCCCTTTAAAATGTTGGAGCCATCAGCTGCCAACACCCGAGAAGAACGCTGCAATCAGCAATTCCCCTCACAAACCTCTCCATTTGACTTCTCACACTTGACAGTGCCTAAACATGGCACTTAATTCAAACCCCCAGTATCCAACTGCTATCTCCTGCTGCAAGCAAAGGATTTCTTCTGCATCCTCACTCAGCATTTACCTGCCCTAACAGACCAACAAGAGCCAATGGGAAGAGAGAGGGTGTCTTCAGAAAAGGATTCATCTCATTGTAAGGCTTATGTCAGAGCTGTTCTTTGATGGTGCCTATACCTGTCCTCTATCCACAAACCCTTATTTCTTGTGTTTCTACCCTGGGCAGAATCACATATGTTCTCAAGAGCCAGCAACAGATATGCAAAAGCACCTTCCTGTTTCAGACAAGCCATCTCATGTACTGTTCTCCAGCCCAACATTTAATTTCACAGTTACAACTCTGGCATGCAAAATTACAGGGTTCAATGGCCTCTGAGTGAAAACTGGGGAGCAAAGAAATCCTTCCCCACACTGCCCTGTCTCCACAGGGTGATGCACATTGCAGTAAAACCTTCTAATGGCAATGGAAACCAACCAGTCACTGCCCTCTCTCACGGGCCCCTTCCACAAACAGAGGAGCACATCAAGCCCTGCAGGTTCTGGAGCAGTCTGAGTTCCTGCCAACTTCTTTCAGAAGCTTTCCCAGCAGGGGCCATTAGCAAAACCTCCTCTGATTGCCAGATCAGGAAATGCCACCCTTCTCTGTGAAGCTGAATAGCTTGTGAGGGAATGAGGGCACACCTATGAGGCACACATCCAGTCACAACTGAGAGGTGGCAAGTGATGGCAAGTCTATCACCTCCCACTTAACAGAGCTGGTCAGCAACCATTGAGACATTTTGACAATTCTCAACATGTGAAGCATTAAGAAAAATCAGCATATTGTGAACTAAGAGGCTGCATCCTTGTGCCACTGGGGAGACAGAGGCAAAGAGCAGCCAAATTAATTGACCAAATTCACTCTGCTAGCAGAAACCAGAAGAAAACATTGTGTGTCCCAATTCCCAGAGCAGTGCTCCTGAAGAACCTCAGGCCAGTGTCTTTAAGCTCCTGGGATACTGTCTAGGTTACCTCCCACACTCTGAGCACATGCCTGTAATTCATCTGAATGAATAAGGTGGCCCCAGTGATGTGGATTTCTTCCTTCTCAGCTGCTGTGTGCAGATAGCCTGACTGTGCTCTACAGTACATGTGTTTTGTTGGCAATCCTAAATGTTCAAACCTGGATGCAAGCATTTTTGTATAAAGTGAATTTATACCTCAGTGATTCTGAATTTTTAAAATGCCTGGAGAGAAGAGCCACTCTGTTCAGCAAAAGCCTTGAAGAACCAGCACCACTGATCCTTGCACTCCTCTGCTCCATCCCATTGCCTCTGAAAGCCATTTATTATCCAAATTTCAGGTTTACAAAATCCACTGTTGTAAAGCACGATGTTCTGCTCACTTCTAACACAGCCCTGGTACAACCACTCAAGAGAGACAGCAGGAAAGCAGCACTTACCTGGGTTACTCTTGGAGGTGCGCACGGGGGTGTAATGGTTTTTGGAGGATGTCCTGACTGGGGTGTTTTCTTTGGGGGAGGTATCTATGGCCGAGATAGTCTCTCTTTCACAGTGTGCTATTGGGATTGGTCCCTGCTGCCTTAAGATGTCAGCCAGAGCCCTGGGGAGAGAGAAATAGAGGGGGAGGGAAATGTTATTTTCACACAGTACTTGGAATGGCATTCAGCATTTTCGTTTCCACAGTCACTGTGGAACAGCAGAAGCTGGATTTCTACCATAAACGGGGGGGAAAAAGGGCAAAAATAACAAAATAAAAGCTATGGCTTAAAGCTCAGTTTCTTTTTTTTTGTGTCTGCTGCACATATTTATAGGCTGGCCTAGCTATTGTTTAGCTTTTCATATGCTTCCACTAATTCACTTCACCCCAGGGTTATGTTATCTTTCCATCTTCTCCTTGCTGGCAGTGACAATGCAGATGAACTGTTCTTAGCACAAAGCCTTTAGAAAGGGCCACCACTGAACATGCCGGAGCCCTAAGACTGCAGCACTGTGATTTTCTAAAAGAGACACCAAAACTGTGCTGCCGAAGCCAAACTTCTTTAAGCCTGAATCAGATTAAGAGTCGGGTTCCCACACTCCTTGTTTTTTAATGCAGGAAGCTCAATACACCAGAGTGGTGGGAGTGGGATTCTTAAAGAAGAACCAGAAGAAAAGGATTAAGCAATTTCCATGGGTTAACACAGCAGTAGCCTACCTTCAGCTAGTTGTCCATTAGGGATTTCTTTAATGGTACTGAGGTCTCTGCTGTTCCCCAAGAAAAAGAAATGTCACAGTTGTATCCAATGTTTTCCCCTTGGATGAGTGCATACTCAAAGAAATTTTTAACTCTGTGAATTACCATGGACACAGTGGAACAACTATGGCATGAAATGCACTGATTTTCTTAGTGCAGCCACAAGTTACCTCTGGAGTCATAGGAAAAGGAGGAAGGAGGTGGCCTGTGTGGATTATAAGGGAGGGTGGCATTTTAAATGGGAAAGAGTTTCAAGGTTCTTTTCTCTCAGCAAAGGGAATATGCCTGATGTCACCTTGGGTATCAAGAAAGATGTAAGGAGAAGAAATTATTCCATTACATATTGATGAGAATGATGCTGGTGTTGCTTGTATCTACTAGCATTCCTTAAATGCCATATTTCTGGTCTTCATACGAGAAACAGCTTGGGACCTGAGTCTCTTCCATTTTCCAGCTCGTTTCCTCTACAGACTACTGTTCCTGTATAATACATGCTCTACAAAAGAAACTCAGTTCTCAGAGGCTTCAGAAGAGGATTAGGTGAGTTTACAACCACCCTGTACACAATAAGAATATTTTAAACCTTATTTGATTATTTATTGTTTACAGAGGGAGCAGGCATAGAGGCTACAACCAGTCATATGCATATGTGGGCATACTGGTGCATACGGAGTAAAGGGGTTGTAACATGCAGGGACATGAGAGCACAGGGGTTTTTGTGCCAAGACAGGCTCAGAAAGAGGTGAATATGAAGATGGGTACTTAGCCATGTCCAAGGTCAGGTCAGGGACTGGTTTACACTTGGAAGTGGTTGTGTGGGATGAGGTAGAGAAAGGCAGTAGGGAAACTCAAAAATGAGGAAGTGGAGCTGGAGGCACTGGTGGGATGGAAATGGAAGAGTACATATCAGTTCTCCCTGAAGCTGAATTTGTTTAACCTGAAAAGAGAGGCCAAGAGAGGACTTACGTCCCACTAATGGGGAGCTGCAAGGGAGACAGAGCAAGGCTGTTCTTGGAGGTATAAGGCAAAGAAGACAAAAGGCACATACTATAGTAAGGGCAATTCCACTTGGTTATAAAGGACCAAAAAGGACACAGTGAGATAGGAAAATACTGAAACAGAGACCCAGAGAGGCTGCGGGATTTTCATCCTTGGAGGTCTTCAAAAGCAGCTGGATAAGGCCCCAACAACCTCCTCCACCACTGGAGTTGCCCTTGATTTAAGCAGATGGCAGGAAGAGTGACCTCCAGAGGTCCCTTCCAACCTAAATCCTGCTACCATTCTGAGTCTAGGATCACCTCCACTCCAGGTCAGCTTGTGTCTCCTGATACTGTTGTCCTGTCTCCTACTGACACCACTCTGAACAGGCACTGGTAGAGACCAAAGGAGGTAGGTCCACCCTACCTCCTGGGTGGACAGTTCACCTCCATTCACTAAAGAGAATAGAGGCAATTGAAGTGAATATACCCTGGAACAACTGGAGCCATACTCCCTCAGATGTGACCTATCTGAGAGCCAACCCCTGAGCCTTCTGCTCTCCACAAGGACAAAACCAGGCTAATACTTCAGTGTGTGAGCAGTTTCTTGTAAGACTATGCTTGGTTGTTCCTTCGTTACAGACAGGACCTGAACTCACTGACCCTGACCACAAAGGATACAGCTCAGTTGATAAGAACAAATTTAATCCCTTCTTTGGTTTTCATCCTGAAGGAATAGTAATAAAAGCAGCTCTCTGGGTTAGTTGTTGGTCACAGCATAACAAGTAAATGATTCCTAGTCAGGTGCCAGCCACATGGAAGAGAGGAGGCTGCTACTCTCAGATGGACTGAAGGTAACACAGGTGACGCTCAGGAAAGTGTCAGACTACACAAGATGAACATCACTATCAAAAGCAGACCTAGATCATAAGTGTATGCAACTAAACCAACATGAGTTCAGCAGTACTGAAGGTGTAGCCTTCTTATGCCCTAAACACACCAAACTGTGTGTCCTCAGTGCTCACTCTTTGTCCTCTTCTTTAACGTCTAACGGAGAAAAAAAAAAAGACTGTTCAGCACCAGCAGAACAAAACATTATAGGTGGGGGAGAAAGTCACACTTGGATCCAACTGGTTAGCTCCTTGCCAATTCAATCACACTGTTGTGTGGGATCCAGTTTATTTCCATAAAGCACTGAGGGCTGAGTCCCACGCTGGTGGAAGGTCAGTCACACTGAGGGAACGATTTGGTCAGTAGGAGTCCCTCAGGTACAGCTAATTGTCCACTGCAAAAGCTTCAATAATGAGACAGTAATAGAGTCACTTTTGCGCCTCGAGTGTACAGCCATTCGGGTACGTTTAGTCCCACTGATGTCAACAGCACCTTAATCACCTGCACGAGGCTGTGAGACACTTCAAACATCTCTCTATGACAACACATCTCTTATCTCAGGAAAACAAACCTCGCTCGCTGCAACGCACTACCTGTGGCACCGCGCGCAGTAGCCAGCGCTGCGTAACTGTGCATCATATCCTGAGATAATGATTTGTGACAGTGTTTGCAGTCATGTCATTCCTGTGAGAACACTAACACTGCCTTCCACGTAAACCCAGAGTATAAATAGCGACAGCAGGGATGTTGTTCCACAGCAGTGCTGGACCAGCAGCACGGGATACAAGAACACTGATGTCTTGCATGGCAGAGACATCCCGAGGCACAGCAGGTCAGGTCCTTCTCTCAGGCATCTCAGCAGCGGATGCTCTCCTGCAACTCTGCACTGAGCACTTTGGGAAGAACCACAGTGGGATGAACACAGTGACCTGACTGCAAAGAGGCCAATGTTTCGGAATACAAAAAGCCAGAAGGGGTGGGTATAAGCAGCAGGGTAACAAGGTCAGGCATCAACTGGGACCCCGATGTTGAAAGGTGAAATCAATAGATTGCTAAAGAAAAAAGAGAGTGAAGGCAAGCTAGAAGAGGGGCAATGGCAGGAGCAACAAAACCAGAGCAGAAGGAGAAAGTGAGCAGAGCAGCACAAAATGGAGGGAATGGGCAGGAACAAACTGCAGTGAAGACCAGACAGATCATGAAGTCCAGCAGTTATGAGGAGGGTACTCATGTCTCAGTCCCAGCATGGTGATGTGAGAGGGAAGAGAGGAGCTTCTTTGCACCTCAACTCAGTGATTCCGTAAAGCTTGTGTTAGCCAGACCACACTGTCCTACTAGAGGGTCCAGCTCCAAGCACCATAAAAAAAGAGGCTCAAAACACAGCAGAGAGAACCCCACTAAGAACCTGACCCTGATCCTTCTAGACCCAGACTAAAGCAAGGACTCCAGGGGGGTTTCTTCAGGCTCAGCAATGCCACTGACTGCAGACCCAGGCTCTTCCTGTAGGAACTCTCACACTGTGAGACGCTCCCATCTTCCCCAGCCACGTCGGTGCCTTAGCTTCCGGACCTCAGCAATTCCACTATAGTGATTTGCTTGCCCCCTGCACCCATGCGGAGAAGTTCCTTTCTCTTAAGTGCTCTGTGCACTGAAGAAGGAAGGATTTACCTGGTATCACTGAGAAAGCTCGAGGCAGAGCTCACAGTCTAATTCCTGCCTCATGCCCCCTTCACTGGCCAAGGAAGCTCCATCTCAATAAGCCCATCCCAGGTGTCCCTGGATATTTGTCAGGTTTTTTTCAGGACCTATCTGTGGAAATGCAGAACTCATGTCAGTGCCCTAAAGCCAGAGAGGACTTCATGGACTGTATTTGATGGTGGTATCTCCAGTCCACACATAACCCTCTCCTCTTGGATTAGAGAGAAAAAAAGACACAGATCCTGGGGAGACAGGGAGAAGCAAAGAGTTAAACCAGAGAGGAGTATCTGGTGTAAGAAGTGAGCTTGCATTTGGCTCCAATGAGCTCTGAGACACATCAGGTACTGTGATGGGGGGACTAGAGTGCAGCCAGAACATCCACCTGCAGAGGTTGAAGGGACCTTGTAGCCAAAGAGAACATGACATTGCAGGGGCTGTGAAGGACCAACTCACCAACCCAGCCACCAGAGTCAACCTGCTGTGCTAATTACCAAAGAGGTAACAGCTCTCAGGTCCTTCACCACATCTTTTCTGAAAGCAGTGTCCTGTTTTCCCAATATCCATGGATTTTCAACACTAATTGATAGTGTGGGCCCAGGTATCCCTTCTAGTGCGTGCAACAGGAGCTTTGGTGACAGCTCCAACATGTGTGGCCTGTGGGAAGTAAGAGTAGAGACGTCTGCAGATGCTGGACAAGAAAAGGTGATGGGAAGAGCTGACCACTTCATCAAGTGCAGGTTGTACGTGTGCAAAGCTTCACTCTATTGCCCTCTGAAAATCTCTCCTTCTGAAAACCTCTCTTGG